GTTTAAGCGGGAAAGCGTAACAGACAGACAGACAGACAGACAGACAGAGTTACTTTCGCATTTATAATATTAATAGTTGGGATTCCTAACTAATTTTGTAAGAACTTGGTATTTGGCGCATTAAAAAAATACGTCCTTTTTCAAGCTACTTTTGCCGACTGTACTTGTAGATTACTTTTGTCTTGTGAGAATGAGATTACTGATTTGAATTGACTTTTTATGCAATCGAGTAAATGGAGCATGCAATTCCGCATAGCATTATAAGTTTAATACATAATTCAGCTATGATGTTATTTTACTTCGCCTAGGCGCAGACCACCGACATTTAGTTGGCTAGTTGGGTCGGGCTGTTGATCAGTATGGAGATGTATGAAAGTGCGGACATTACACCGATTTGGTATCGGCCGATTCTTCATTAGAATCGGGCCAACTATCGGCCAACTAAAAGTCAGCTTAGTGTTAAAGACTCTACACATCAAGCCCGCCGAATAGTGCGACTTTATTTCAAAAGAATCATGTCGACTTGTAACTAATTAATTATGACTTTTGATAACTTTTGGGTTTGGTGTGTAGACTGCCTAAGAACAGAAATATGATTTTAGAATATGCAAATCTGTGGCAATATTACTTGAAATGTGAAAAACTTCAACAAAAAACACAAGATTAAGAAAGTGGTGTCACTTCAAGTTCATCTCGAGCTTGCCCGTTTTTACCAAATTAAAGTGACAAAGATGAGGGAGCCCTTTGTCGTGAGGACACTGCGCACGCGCTCAGATCAATGCAGGGCTGTCAAAAAAAGTTTTATTTTCGTAAAAAAAGTTTTATTTTCGTAAAAAGAAAGTTTTAAGTTGTTTTTTGCAGACATCAAAGGTTAAGTTGTGGCATTCATCTTATCCATGGCCATGCTTCACCCTCACTGACAACCTTAGGAAAATTACTGTCTAGTGTCCATGCTTCACCACTCCACGACCTTAGAAAATTGCTGGCAGAAGTGGCACGTCTAGCAGAGATTGTGCTTTGTGGCATTAAAGATTTATTTTCAGTAAGTTTGCTTTTACACGTTTTTGGGAGGGTTTATATTTAGCAATAGACTGACATAATAAAGACATACAGATGATGTCTGTGCTTCAAAAAGGCACTCTATTCGTAGATTCTTTCCCCCACTTCTTCTCAGTACCGTCGATATGTTGTTCCGCAGCAGTGATGACAGGCAAGTTTTTTTTATTCATACGTCTATAAATGCCCTGAAAAGAATTTAAAAGAATTAGAACTCATATTCTAATTCTCTCCAATTGGTACTCTAAATTATGTAATCACAAGCACACTTTTTACTCTACCTTTTTTCGTTTCAGCACGTTTTATGAAATGTTAAAAAGGTCAACCTTAAAATCGGCTGCGAGCCCTATCCAATGGGCAGTCACGAATCGAATAGATCGTGATACTTTTTGTTCGATATTAGTTGCGTCACTTTCGAGTAGGGGTCAACTCTCTTACTCATTGTGTCGAGTCGACCTCTGTCCGTGCGTAAATACTGAAAAGCTTTCGTGATTTTTGTATAAGCAAATATAATTTTAGCGATTTTGTAGGAGATGTGATAAAAACTGTCTGAAAATCAGACTGAATAGTCTTCATAACAACATAATTTCTCTACATAATTAGTACAGTCATCATCATATAGTTCGTGACACCCAAAGTGTCCAAAAAGTTGACAACGCAGCTCTATTTCAATAATGTAACAAAGACATGTTACGAACTTTTTGTCTACGTTTGGTGTCACAAAATATTTGATGCTGACTGTAGAAATTTTACTCATATTGATTGGCTTATAGATAGTTAAAAATTACCAAGACCTATCAACGATACCTCTCGCTCGTTTAACAAAAGAGTGACAGAGAAAAGTAGAGTCGAATGCGTCGAAAGCTTTCGCAGAGTGGGACCTCAGTTGCGTTCCTAATGCACAGAGTAATAAAGATAAGACAAATTTAAATAGTCCAGATATTGCTTTGATACTATCTCGTTTGATTTGTTGGCGTATTTCCGAACAGGTTGGGTAGTTATTTTGGTGCCAGTAGAAACTACTATACAGGGTGGAATTTTGTAATGCCACCTGGAGGGAAAGTACCCTTAATACTGTAGATAGAAAATTTTACTCATAGAAAACATTCCTTTATTTTTTAAAAGAAAGAGAACTGCATTCAAAGATTTTCGAAAATAGTAGACATAGTATAGTCTTAAATGTAGAGACGATGGCACTGGCTAAACAATTAACGCATCTTATGTAGTGATTATGTAGGAGCTGATGATGATAATGGCACATGAAGCTACCTAAAAATGACAGTTTGCCATCTTATGGTAAATTCAAATTTAGTAGGTTAGGTACAATCAGCGTCAAATACGCAAAGAAGCCGAAAAGTTCGCAACACGTCTTTGTTACATCTAAATATATAAAAGGAGAAACTGACTGACTGACTGACAGATCAACGCACAGCCTAAACGGCTAAACGTAGACACTTGAAATTTGGAAGGGACGTAGCTTAGGTACCGTAGAGGTGCACTAAGAAAGGAATTCCCGAAATTCCCACGGGAACGGGAATTAGCGGGAAAAACGGGATTCACGCGTACGAAGTCGCGGGCGGCCGCTAGTTTGAAATAAGATTGTAAGCTGTTTTTGGCTACTAAGGACGAACTATTTGACGCCGATGGATATCAAATATAGGAAACCGAACGTAGGTAATGTTTGTGAAAATGAAATTCCCTAAACAAGCTTAGGTTCACTGTTTCAAAAGAGACTTACTCAATTAAAAGCCTTAAAATCTTGCAATAACGCTACGCTACATCGCATCCTGAATAACGTCATTGTGCCAGTAACCACACAGTCTTTACACAACAATAATCGTAACCAAATAAGTGCATCGATTTTCGATTCTTACGCAATCGGTCAATTTTACATTGAATGCAAGCGATGACCCAACGAAAGTGAAACCGTAATGTAAATATTTATGTACTTTTTGTGTGCATTGGTATTAATGAGGTGGTTTCTAGAATCGAGTGAGGAGAAATTAAATATGTTTAATGATAATACCTTAAACCTAATAAACCTTAATAAATATTATTCACACACCGTCTAGTATTAAATTACCTTGAAGTTATTAGGCAAGTAATAAATCAAGTGCAAGTCATAATAAATAAGGTGGGTACTGGAATTTTTTTCGTATGAACACACAAAAATATGGCATTCGTAGTATTCATTTTAAAGCCTGTAAACCCCTTAGAATCCTCGACACCTTTCCCCTGTTCAATCGAAATAAAATCAAAAAATATAATTTACATAACTGACTCTACCTGGAATCGAACCTTCTACCGTAGCTTCCATTTCATCACGCCACTGACCATCGAAACTGTTCCCAGTACTTCCCAACCCACAATCCCACAGTCGGTCATGCTCGCTTGCCCACCAATTTCTTCTCAATTACACTCATCATCCAATCCCATAAAACAAAGTTTAATGTCCGTGTACCTGCTTATGTTTTACCAAAGGTTTGTACGTTAAAGTGCATGTCAAATAATGAAAGACGGTAGCAAGCGAAGCGTTTCTTTTAAATTGTCTCTACATTGTAATGTTAGCGATATTATGAACTGCTCGAGGTGATTCAGGTGATATAAAAAGACTAATGACTAAGAGAAGCATATCAAACTAAAATACTGTTACATAAATACATAACTTATGTTTATTTACTCACACATTAGGCATAAGTTGTGTGTAGTTGAAACTAATTTATAGATTTGAACTTGGTTTATACTCGTAGCTATGTTTATACTCACTATGATAAAAGTGATAATCTGTGTGCTGTAACTGTACCAGAAATAAAAGGTGCTATAAAAATGTCTAGGTTACATTTATATAGCACCTTTTATTTCTGCAAACTAGTCTGATGTAGGTTGCCAGTAACACTTAATTACCTAAGCACTAAGGACTTAGATTTTTCGTCCCTAAAAAGGTTGTTAAAAAATTGTACTGAAAAAAGTATTTTCTTTTAACTCTCCTTAAAAGTAAATTTATAGGCAAATACCTATTATCACCCACCTAGTCATAAGCGCATAAGGTATAATTTCCCATAACGACTGCACCGCCACCGTGAGAAGACTCTAGGTCACTGGAGCGAGTCATTGCAGCGATTCTCGCCATTAAGTGCCTTCCCTTTGTTTTTAGGTAGCACTTTATAATACCGACAATGTAATGGATAGATCGTTTGCTTTTAAAAAGGGGAACTGATTGATGGCTGTGAAAAATTGGGAGTAAATTGAATGGGACAGCCGTCTTATCATAGTCTGGGAAGAAAGAAAAGTTTTGAATGATAGATGCAATAGACAAATAAACCTATGATAGATGTATAAAACTCCTGAAGTAAGTTAGATACTGTATAATAATTGAACAATAAAATGTTTTATACTTTGGAGGTCACTAAAATCATCCAACTGTCCTCAATATAGGAAATTCAATGATAGAAAAAAATACCTACCTTAGTAGGTACATGATATAAATCTCACGGGGGATTTTATTATCCTCCTCCACTGCAGAAATACAAAATACCTACACGACTCTCTCAATCTACCAATGCAAAATGAAAGTCCTATTATTTGTCCCTTATTAGCCTCTTGACATGCACGGAAAGAGTGTGAGCAATATTTTATCATACAGCTAATGTGATTACGAATAATATTCATGATCACATAGCTGTATCGTAAAATCAGTGTGTATAGGCTAAATCTAAAGGCTCTGCTAAATTGGGGAGAGTCGCGTAATCTTTTAAATAGCTTAAGTCGGAATTTTAAGATCCGCAGCCCTTTCACTAATTAATTATAACACAAGTAAATCTAATTTATCAAAGTTCACATCCAGAGGTGCCAACCTAAAAATTATCAATCTCGTGACAGTATTTTTCCTAGCTCCTAATTAAGATCAGATAGCGCGTGCTTATCAGCGCTCTCGGTTGTTTCAGACGTAGTGCGCGGGCACAGCAAGATGGCTGGCTGGGGACTGTGGCTGGTGCTGGCGCTGACTGGATATGTGCACGGGCAAGGCGCGGAGAAGCGTAAGTATTTTTTAGATTTTTTGAGTGTCAAGATTTTCTCCTCTCCAATGACAGTTTAACTTTCCCCCGGGACTAATTTGACCTTCACTGTTTGGGTTTTTGTTGGCGGTCAAACTGTATATCTTGGCTACACAGAAGTTGCAGCGGTGGGATTGGTGGGAACGAGAGGTGGGAATAGTTCCGTGAACAGGTTTTCTTCAAAATAGAAATTTACAGAAATTTGTTTTCAGTCACGTGGAAAATAACACTTTTTGTGATATTATTTCATAGTGAACTATGACTGCATTTCGTTTTATATGACCCAATACAAAAATCTATTGCCTAAAATATGTATGATAAAGTTTGAAACTTTTTATCACATTTTTCAAGTATTATTTAATCATAATTTATTTTTGATACATTTTTAAACGTCGAATATAATAGCAACACATACGAGATCCGATTCAATTACCGTATCAACCCAATTCGCCGTCTCAATTTATCAAATTACGTACTTACACCGTTCTCACACATCAATAAAAGTCATACTTTCCATTTCCGAGTGCATTGTGAGAGGAAAACCACCGATTACACGAACAATAGAGTGAGAATAGGAAGTGGCATGGAATCGATGGTTTTATTACTTGTGGCATGCCATAATAACATAATTATTTATGCAATGCTCTAGATAAAATAAAAGGAAATAGTACTAGTATTATAAACGAGAAAGTGTATTGTTACGTTTTGACCAAACTAATTTTTCTGCATAACCCAAAGGTAAACTGGATGAGAATGCCTTATGGCATTAAGTTCGCCTAATGTTAATATTTTTGGCATTGAAGTATAAATAAATAAATAAATAAATACTAAGACGGTTTTTTGAAAACATGATAGAGTCAGCGTCAATTAGTTTATTAATCGCGGTGTCACGCACCTAAAGTGGCCAGAAAGTTACCAATTCAACCTTATTCCAACTGTAACAAAGACGTGGTGCGAACTTTTTGGCTACTTGCCATAAATTTATTTTTCCTATACCCTACGTCGATTTATTCTCATCATAAAGGTTCCAGCTTTGAGCTTCGTCCTAAAAGAGTTCGTATAGAAAGTATAGTAGGGCTTGAATCTCTACTTGAGTAAAATAATCCGTCCATCCATGGGCGTTGTTTCATAACACTTTACGAGCCTTAAATAAGGACTGAGGACTTCAATCAGTCAGTAAAACCAAAGTTAAAACTCAAAATAATACCTTAAAGGCGTTCCCTCAAACGCTTTCTCGGTGATACATCTTCCTATTCTCGTCCACGTTTTGCCATTGTAATCGATTACGGCGGGTCGAATCGATTGCATAGATCGTCTCGAGTGCTCGCAATCGATTGTCACGTCTAACGGTGAACGTTGCGGACACAAATGATGCGATGCGGAATGCAAAATCGATTGTTTTACAGCTTTTGCTGTCATTAGAGAAGATGTGATATAGTCACAATCACAACAGTATCTGTTTTTAGAATAATATAGAATACTAGCGGCCGCCCGCGACTTCGTACGCGTGAATCCCGTTTTTCCCGCTAATTCCCGTTCCCGTGGGAATTTCGGGAATTCCTTTCTTAGTGCACCTCTACGGTACCTAAGCTACGTCCCTTCCAAATTTCAAGTGCCTACGTTTAGCCGTTTAGGCTGTGCGTTGATCTGTCAGTCAGTCAGTCAGTTTCTCCTTTTATATATTTAGATACAGTAAAGTAACTTATACAGGCTGTCCCAAAAGAGCGTGCCAAACTTAAGGAGATGATGCCTATCTCTTTTTTCATTTATACACACAGCAACAAGAGAATTTCACTTGGGAATTTTAAAAAAACATGAAAAAAACGTATCTCTAAAACTTTCTATCATCTTAAGTTTGGCACGCTCTTTTTGGGACACCCTGTATATAAATAGATACACAAAAACCAATAATGAGAGAGTCAGAAGACATTAAGTCTTAATTTTGTCTACTGCGACACTTTAGCAATGTGAGGCTTACTTTAACACCTTAATTATTTATTCTAGAGCACGACAAAATATCAATTACCTTCTCTTAATTATACAGCCGATATACAGCAAGTAATCTACTTTAATTAATTTACGTACAGAATTAATAGCATTTAATTTAACGATTGTAGGTAGGTATATGTATAGTCCTTCCCTGTATACTAGAACTAGGTAATTACCTGATGACGTTAGCTTAACTTTATACTTACATAAGGATAAGACTGAACCAGCTTTGAACTTGATTTGGTGAGCAGAACAAGTTACGCCATAAGTTCTTTGCTTTATAAAATCTCGGCGTCAAAACGGCCTTCAAAAAGTATTTTTAGATTTAGTGTCAACATCGTCTTCTTATTCATTTGCTCTTGGTAGAGCTATAATGGTCACATAAGTTGTAGAGGCGGATATAGCCCACAGCACGATCTCCCGCCATCTCTCCCTGTTGATAGACTGCCTGGTGCAGTCAGATACACGGTATCCCACTGCTGATTTTACTTAGACAGTCCAGCGCATAGGTGACCTGCCACGTGATCGGGTTCCTTCAACTATTCCCTGAATGACTCCTAAAAATGTCATCTAGGTAGGCCCAATTTAAAATTAACTTAAAGTTGTCTTGGATTAGGTGGCAAAAACAAACATTTGCCAACATCCTATAACTACACTCTTAATGGCTAGCAGCAATACCTTACTCGCTTATTAGTAGAAAATCCGCCACGTGTAATTACACCACATCCGTGAAACCATGTTGGGTGCTAGCATCGCAAGTGTGCCACGTTATCGCCTATTGAGGCCAGTGGCTCGCCTTCAAAGGAATGAGGATAGGCTGGTGAGGAGTAATATAATAGTAACATGCGTTTTTCTTTTATTTAAGTAACCAATATCAGTAGGTATTATTATTACGTACATTTTTGTTTCAGTCATATACATTATTATTATTTATTGTGATCATAAGTAAGCGATAAACAAATGGCCTACAGTGTAAGATTTTTTCTTCTGACATAATATTTTCCCCTGAATTTTTAACAATAACAGGGAAGCTCTTTGCCTTGTTCCTACCTGATAGAAAGTAATGATGTAATTACGAGGAATTCAGGTCACACTTCAGAAATGAAAATAGTGTAAACTGTAATACCCGTTCCAGAGTACCGGTTTCCTACAGTCTTCACATATTTAGGTGTTATTTTAAGTAATTTTATTATTAACTCGAAGCGACAAGGGCGAAAGGATAAATAAAATATTGTGTCTAGACTGTATCTAAAGACCGGCTAATTCCAGTGTGTTTTAATGATAAATTGTGCGAATGACTTACCTAGTTTTCCACACAAACACTACTCAGCCTCCAATACGTCGGACCTTCTGAAAAATCAACCCAACCCAGGGCTTCGAATAGTCTTCAGTCATGTACATTGACAATAATGCAAAGTTCACCGTATATCACACAATCAATGTCGATTCAAACTGTACTAGCGACAAATTAGTGATCACTAAAGCAATAATAAATGATTTCTCTACAAACCATTACTGATCCATTTGCTCATCTCTAATTCGATGATTTTGTCTGCCAATATTGATTGAATTAATTTGATGATTTTGTCTGCCAATATTGACCGTTAAGAGTTCAACGTATAACAGTGTATAAATAATTTTAACCTTAATCTAATAATTGAAACTACTTTTTTATTACTATGAGGTCTCACAGTGCCCGTGGATGCACAGGGTCACACACAAACCAATCACTGAACTCTATTCAACGCTGTGCGTTCGTTTTGTTACTTCACTTAAGCAAGCATCGTTTATGAATACGGGCGTATGTGTTGTACTTAAGAAACAGAAATTAGCCAATGCAAAGTAAAGTCCAAAATGTAAGCGACAGCTTTTGGTGTTTCAGTAAGATCTCCAGCAAATCAACCTGCCAAAAATTTACGAGTCTCAAAATTTCAATTTCGTATTTTAAATCCGTGTAAAATGAAAACCATTCTGTCATTATACTTAGGACCAAATATGTAGTTGGTCTCACTCGCTGGACAATGATTTGGCTTAGATGAACATCCTGAGAAGAGCATCCTTCTGACAACATCCTTCAATGTGTGCTTTACATATTTTTTTAATCGCATACCCAATACTTGGGGCCCTTAAACAAACGTGACCAGCCCCAATCGTTATTACCGCGGTACCGTTACCGCTAAACAGCTGATCGATTCGACAACGCTTAGACAAGTCATTGAGGGCAAACCGCGATATTACCGCGACAAATTGCAGAAATTACCGGGCAAAGTGCGAAATGGAATATTCGGGTGGGTGGAGACGTAATTCAGCTCTTGTGGCTATGCTTTTACCGCGGATTTACACGCGTTCGCTTAGTTTCTGAAACTTTATTTGCAGGAACTTTTTACTGTATGAAAATACGAGTAAAATAGTGTCGTATAAAAAAAAACACTTTCTTAGTTCTTCGGCGACATTATGTACTCATGTCCTTCTTCAAGGTCCTAATTATCTGTGTACCAAAATTCATCAAAATTAGTTCAGAATTTAAGCATGAAAACGTACAAACAAACAAACCGACTGCATTGTGACTTTTGCATTTACTTATATTACAGTGATAACATAGATTAGATATCTCAAATTATGGTTCGTCAAAAAAGAGAAAAGAACTCCCCATTATAAGAAAAGAAAAGCCCATTAAAACCCCATAGCAACAATCTAAATCCTTCATCAGTATGAACGTAAAGTAATTAAATATAAGCCTACTAATTATCAATTATGTTGGCAAAACATTAAACTATATCTTATTTTTAACACATAGCACGAGTTGTGCGTACGCACACATAATAAATCAGATAAGTGTATTTGTCAGCAAATGTGTGCTTTCAAAGGCGCAGGTGCTAAACAAACTCATTGTCATTGCCTCTATGCTTGACAATTTTATAACATAAGGCTGTGTATTCACTGGTACAAAGTTCTTCACTTTGAAAGGGCCCGAAAAGACCTATAATCTGTGTTCAAAAGCAAGTAAAGGTACAGATACATTTCATTACCAGCAAGAAAGCATACCATGCATGCAAAATGTGTGTCAAACATTGCTAATAATAAGCATTCTCATTTCGAATTGTTCGAGCGCGCTTGTTTTAGGCATGCTAATGACTTTATGGATATTTATGTAACTGTACCTCAATGTCTTGTGGCGGATCTTAAACAACCACAGACATTCATCATTTACGCTTAGAACCAAGTAACAATACAATTTTAATGTTAAAGCAAAAAACTTTTGACTCGCAGATTTTTCCGATTTTATTTTAGTCTTACAAGAATTTATTAGCTACCAATTTTTGTAACAAATAAAAATGTCTCCAAATTTTACAGTGTGTCCTAGGCTTTATGTTAATGTTATAAACGAAGGTTTAGGTCCAAGGTTGGCCCAAATCGACATAGTACTATGTTGTGAAACAAAACATGGCGTTTTAAGAATTATGATATAATTAAGATAATTACTCTTTACCTACAAGACTTAGCACTTAGCGACGAGAATGTTTGGTGATAAAACTTTGGATTCTTACAGGCGACTCTGAATGTCATGGAAAATTGAGTATCATGCTTACGTTTGTTCTTTCCTTTGTTTGTAATGTACCTATCTAAGGAAAAATAAATATATTTGTAAGTAGGTACTTAATGTTATTATGAAGATAATCGTACCTATGTTTGTAGAGGATTTTCTGAAGTCTCTGTACCTTTAGACAGTGTAACGCCCGTATTCACAAACATTAGGTACTATGAGGTCTCACAGTGCGCGTGGACGCACAGGGTGACACATGCAGCAATCACAGAGCTCTATTCAACGTTGTGCATTCGATTTGCTGCTTCACATAAGCAAGCATCGTTTGTGAATACGGGCGTAAGATTGACGAAGTCTGTAACCTTTTTTATAGACTTTGGCAATCGTATAAACCAATCAGGCCAACCAAATTTGAACGTATTTCTAATTAGACGCCAAGAAAAATACTTGACAGTACTATTTCCACCTCTCATTCCTACTATTGCAACTCCCAGGAAACTAAGATGTTGGTGTAGAGTTTACCAAAACCCAACCACCAAATGTCAAGTTTGTCCCGGGGAAATGTGAAACTGTCATTAGAACGAGGAAATGTGTTAATCTCTCAGCCTCCAAGCGGTAGCCGGCCACCGCGTAATAATTGATTATCTATTTCGTCTAGATTCGCGGCGCTTGAAGGGTTGAAATCATTTCGCTCTGATGATTTCTCGATGGAAGTATTAATACTCATCATCAACAGCCCTTTACAGTCCACTGCTGGACTATGAGCCTCCTCCACTATAGTGGAGGGTTTTGCCATAATCTCCACGCTTGGCAGGCGGGTTGGAGATCGCAGTTTAAAAGATTGATGTTTTTCAGAGAGCGCTGCTGCCCATTCTCTGTTTGATGTGTAGTCCCTAAGTCGCCTCTTACGACACCCGCGGGAAGAGTAGGGGTTGGTGACAAATGTATTCTACTCTGCCGTCACCACACGGCTAATAGTAATAGTATTAATACTACTGGTACTAAAACCCAATTGAGCTAACTGCGCACCTCGCTGGAATGCGACTCTCCCTCCCACTTACCCGAGCGTTGATGTGACGTCACGGCAGCCAATGTGCGCAGTTAATTCGACCGGGTTGTAGTGTATTGTTACCTCCGTTGAGCGAAATGATTTCAATACACACCTCTTTGATCCAATGCAGTTTAATTTTTCCCTGAGACAAACTTGATTGGTGCGCACTGTGCAGTTAACTGAACCGGGTTGTGCCAACTAAAGAGAAATTCTCATCAATTCTCCAACAAAAGGTTACCTAATCCATAACGATCCTAAAACAATCCCGAATCCCGACCCTTAAAAGTAACGACGGATCTATTTCAACCCAAACAACCGGGATAGGGCCTTATTTTCGCAGAATCTGCCAAAACACCGCATCATTACTCCTGCCTGTTATTTTTCTTTCCCACTTCATCAGCGATGTATTAAATATTTATGTAAAGGTTTGAATCAACAGAAAAATGGGTAAACAGTTGCTGTTTACTTAAATAAATAGTAACAGAGGTCGACTACGTCAGGGTTATTGAAAAATCGCTCTTGTTAAACCTCATTAAGATGACACATTGTAAAGCTCTTTTCATCGTTTGTAACTTACAGTTTCGAATGGATAGCAACAGACAGAGGAAACATAGGTCGACTCTACATCAGGTTTATTAAAAAACTAGCGGCCGCCCGCGAATTCGTACGCGTGGAAAATACAAAACTTAGTGAGCACCTACGTTCTAAAAGGAACCCCCATGCAAAATTTGAGACTCCTAGCACTTGTAGTTACTGAGATTTCGTGATGAGTGAGTTAGTTACCTTTCGCTATTAAAGATATAGATAGCTCTCATTTAAGATCTTTACCTTGGGGGAGGCCTTTGTCCAGCAGTGGACGTCATTTGGCTGAAACGAACGAACGAACGAACGAACGTTCTTAAGATAACTCATATTGTTCAGCTTGATGTCGTCCTTTGAATTTTCAATCTTAATAAGTTTACAGTAAAAGCCAGATTGCGTATCTACAGGTATGCCCCTGTAAATATTGCTCTAAGTTTTCTTTTGTTTAGATATTATTATCTAAATAGATAACAATATATCAGGTTGAGGTTAATGAACAGTAATGTTTAATAACCATTTTTCAGTTTTATTACGTTTTCACACTGAAGTCGTTGATCTAAAATCTAGATTGGCCTAGCAGGAGAATTTAGGCTTCATTTTATTGAAAGAACTATACGAGTAGGTATATAACATTTTGAAATTATACATTTTGAAACAAGTAAATAGTCTTAAGCTATAATAATAATCCAAAGCTTCAATAAACTTCATAAAATAGGCTGGTCATTCACTCTTGCCCTCTATCGGTTCCTACAAAGGATAAGTAGATCTGTTGACGTGAAACATTCATCAAGTAATCTCCAAGATCAATTTGTCTTACAAATTTGAACCACACCGTACCTACTTCAGACAGAATAATTTCATCTCCAAATCCATATTACAATGCCAATAAGACTCAAAACCGCGTGCGATATGAATGAAAAGATGATTTAGCAATATTTACGAACAATAGCCTTAAATTGGAGTACCTATAGAGTTTAGAATAATAAAATAATTCAGATCTTATTCCTTTGATGTTTAGGATTACATTGAATCGTATTTGATTTTACTGGAGTTGATGAGAAAAATGTGGTACTGTATGGCATTAAACTGTAAAGTTCAATCTAATTTATATTATGTAGCTTAATATTTATTGCTTCTTTAAAGAAATTATAGATCTATGTGGATTTTATAGCTATTAGCGTTTTTTGGCATTGTATCTCAAACTTCTCCACACTTGCCGCCAAATGTTTGTCTCGAAACGCTGATAGGGCAAAAGGCTCCTTAAGAGCATTTGACGATTTGTAAGTAGGTACTAATTCGAGTCTATACCAATAAAGACAATTTTGATTTTGAAACTTTTAACATCAAAGGACCCTAACCTCGTTCTATTCTATGCTGTGATGTTATCATTATCACAATACATCATCATCATCATCAACCTACATCACTCAGTTCACTTCTGGCCACTTTATTGTCAATACTACCTTGCGTATGTTATCACTCTATTTTGCTAGAGGCTATGACCTCAAAGTAGGTAACTAAAAACTAGTTTAGTATGACTCAACAATGCGGAAATATGTTCGTCAAGAATTAATTCTATTATACCACTCATTGTTATTATTGTTGTTATTGACACTTCTGTGCTTCTGGTGGCACAATGACTATGACAATGGCGTAGGTGTCATCTTCGTGGGCTGTTGTTTGTTAATTAGGCAGCAATAATTAGCACATTATCATATCTAAATAAACAAAGGTACCCTAGAGAATCTAGAGCTAGACCATCGAGTCTGAATTAATTACCTATTGACTAGAGTAGCCATAGTCTCTACATCGAGAAAACTTTGGGTAGAAATACTTGTGCAATAAATTATGCTAACACTAGGTACTTATGAGATTCGAGTACAGTTGGCATCATAAGTTGATACGCAATATCGTTAACACCACTAGAGAAGTAGATTATTTATTAGTAGCTGTTAAAACGCAACTCTACACTATGGGTAGACCCATGGATTTTAGGTAAAGCATAAAGAACTTTACGATATCACTGGTTCATGATATCATTTTTGCAAAGCAAAGGAAACTGTACCACATCACTAACATATTTATTGATTTCAAAGGTACCTTACTTAAAATCATAATTTCCTGCAAATGAAAAACTAACTCTGTTTTCAGTGCTAGAAAGAAACGTTTTATCTTCGATTTATTGTTTCCTGTGTTCAATCACCAAAATGCTTCTTCCGAATCTAGTCCAGTGACTATAATTTGCCCTTCTGTATTATCCATTACCGTTTACCAATGTACCAATTCTCCATCTTTCAGGAAGAACCGGCAATGTGTGCAGCGTGGATATGGACTGTCCCGACAACGCCTTCTGCAGGCAGAGCAGCTACTGCGTCTGTAAAGATGGCTTCGTGTATGCAGCGGTCAACAGCACGCACAAAGGATGCTTGAAGGGTAAGCCATTTTGAACCTTATTACATTTGAACAGAGTCTTTTAAGTTTAAACTAGCATCTTCCGTGTGTATGTAATGCTGCAGTCAACAGCATGCTAGGATGCTTGAAGGGTAAGCCATTCTGTGACCTGGTGACATACGAATAGGCTTTTGACTTTAAACTAGCATCTTCCGTATGTAATGCTGCGGTCAACAGCAGGCATAAAGGATGCTTGAAGGGTAAGCCATTTTGAACCTTTACAATTGAACTGAAGGCTTTGTTTAGCTTGTAAAAGTAATGTGTGTCATGTGGTGCAAGTAGAATAAGAACACTGAACGGAAAAATCTGCCCCCAATGGGATTCGTACCCGGGACCTCTGGCTCTGAAGCAGGTGGTCTTACCACAGAGGCGGTTAAAGGGTCAAATATCATCAAGCCTGTGAAAAGCATAGACTTATGAACTCTCCCGCGTGGACCGATAAAGAATTTCTTTAAAAAATAATAAAATAATGTATCATGCTATCTCCAAGTCTATAACAGTTCACCGATGTTAAGCACTTATGAAAGTTAAAAGTGATAAAAATAAAAATGTGTTTGTGACATAAAACGCTTGTGGTTAGAAGGTGAAATCTTTTCCACCACCAAGAAAAAGTTGTTACACGCTTCAATTTAGCAATAATATGGGAACCGCTCAGCTGGTTCTAGATAATTAAAATGATCGATCAGTGTCTTTATATTAACCTAAAGTGAGAACAATAGGTAGAATGAAGCTTTGATACCTGTCCCCTGGACAAAGCTCCAAACGTGACAACTGTAATGTTGAAATTAATTCACGTAAGGCTTGTTACTTTGTCTAGACTTAGGGTTGCCATCTCAAGACACGTGCAAACCTCGGATTTTGGAGTCCAGAACCCGGACTTGTCAACCAGTTTTTTCAAACCTCGCGTTGCCCGTCATCAGCCTAAAAATGAAATTTTTAAGCCCGGACTCCAAATGAAACCCCACTCGGACGCACCCCGGACGCCTTCGAAACCCGGACGAATGGCAACCCTATCTAGGCTACCATTCGTAAGGTGAAATTGATAAAAAGACAAAAGATCACTTTAAAATCCGGAGTGGTACGGAACTCTAAATCACAATACTGTACACCTGCTCTAATTACTTGTCTAAAACTTAATACTTTTATCTAAATCACCATGTAAACACGCTCAGATGTGTATCTTCTAATTTTAATATCACTAATTTCGACATCAATTATCGTTAGGCTTATACTTTACAAGATAACATCTCGAGTGTTGTAATAGAAGCGAGATAAAAAATAAAGACGTGAGAAATCTACGGAAAATTATTATAGTTAGTTATGCAATGACTTTTCAGAAAAAGTGGACTCATTTAAAAACCGAATGGCATGTCATCATTCATTATGTTGAAGGCTAGTGCATTTAGGTACGTTGCGATACTTGCGATTCATGACAATAAGCTGACAAAGAATGATCTGGGAAATGTGGCATTCAAAACCCAGCTTTAGGTACTTCCATATACAACTCAATAAGCTTATTCAATCTATCACACAACATCTTTGGGGGTGGGTGTGCGACGTAGTGTACCTATGGCAATGCGTGATACTTTTAAAAAAAGGACGGCAATTCTTTTGTTTTTGCAGATATCAGTGGTAATTGCTTACCAATAGGTGTGGTCCATAAGCCCGTTTGATCCGCAATCCACAATCTCTTTGCCTGTATCTGACCTGATGGGAAGTGATGATAACGCCGATGGTGGAAGCGGCTTAATCCGGAATCCTCAATCACAGAGGAACAGGCTATACCTCAAACTACCCACACACATTCTGTATATCATTGTTATGGCGACAAACTTAGGTAATACTCATCTTCATCAAACTTGACCTTCACTGGTTGGGTTTTATTGGCGGTCATGCTGTAGATCCTGGAGGTTGGGACGACTTGCTGTGGTGGGAACGAGAGGTGGGAATAGTCCCGTTATACTCATCTGTACCAAACAGGAGAACCAAAGTAGCCGCAGAATTGCTAAAATCAAGTGGCAGTGGGCGGGGCACATAGCTCGTAGAGACGATGGCCGTTGGGGCAGGAAAGTTCTCGAGTGGCGACCACGGGCTGGAAGACGTAGCGTGGGCAGGCCTCCTACTAGGTGGACCGACAATCTGGTAAAGGTCGCGGGAAGAGCCTGGATATGGGCAGCGCAGGACCGTTCATTATGGAAAACCTTGGAGGAGGCCTATGTCCAGCAGTGGACGTCATTTGGCTGAAACGAACGAATGAACTCATCTGTACTATTATATTCCAGAGGCTCGCAGCGGCGAGGAGTGCGTTCAGCACATCCAGTGTCACTCAACCCTCGGTGTGCACTCGGAGTGCGCAGGCGGCGTGTGCGGCTGCGTCGCGACCGCACACTTAGAGGATGACCGATGCTACGAGACTTCTGGTAAGTTGGAAACAGCTGCTCTATCATCTCCATCTAGTCGTTCTTCAATCTCTAGCTGGATGCCAACCTTGAGAGTTCATTACATCTTTAGCAAGTGTGATAGCTGCTTACTGCATGTACTGATGTAACGCCAGGTGATGTGATTGTAATGTATACTATGTCTTCCATGAAGAAATTTAAGTTGTTTAAGCTCCCAGTAGTAGAAAAACGTAAATGCTTTTGCTTCGTTCGTTCGTTCGTTTCAGCCGAAAGACGTCCACAACTGGACAAAGGCCTCTCCTAAGGCTTTTGCTTATTTTAGACAAAATCAGCAATAGACACATCTTAATAATGGTTCCTAAACAATCTTTTAGATCTTGCATAACATGCCTCAACCTTTTCAAATCTATGATTACAGTGGTCGGAGAGCGTTGTCTGGTAGACCAGAACTGCTTCTTGGGCGAGACTGGTCCGCCGCGACAAGCCTTCTGCGTGCGAGGGTACTGCACATGCCAGCTTCAGTTCAGCCCAAGGGATAATGGGACGAGGTAGGAAAAGTAGATGAACATAGAAATAAAAAAAACTAAAGTTATAGTTATTAAAAGTTACATAAGTACGATACGAATGTGAATAATGGCAAAAAAATTGAAGATCCATTTGAGCGACCATTTTCATGAATCATGACAGTAAAACATGCACAAAAATGCTGAACATTCCAAAAGAAAGAAGAAGAATGAAACCAATACAATATAGGAAAATACAGTTTGTCACCATTGAAGTAATATTACTACGTATAGAACAGACATCGCGAACAAAATATGTACAGTGCGGGGTGCGGGGCGGGAATTTGACGGACAGCTGTCAGTCAAATCCATGACTATCAAGTTTCATAATTTATGGCGATAAAATCTGCACCAGAAAATGTCGTACTTCATTGATAGGATTGCACGAATAGTGACGTTCCTGCGGTCGCCTCATCATAGACATTGTGAATCGATTGTGAAAATAAAGAAATCGGCTAAATTGTGTTAAATTTTCATGGTGCTCAATAGCAAAAAGGTTCAGCTACTTACATTATTTTCTTTTATTATATTGTGCGTTTCCTGTAATGTAATCTAAGCTCCCCTCCCTTAGACTAAAATTAGCCCTCCTAGACAAGTGACAAAACGTAGCAGTTGAAACATTCGAAATCACTTCGCTCCGCCGTTTTTTGGTGTTAGTTACTTCACTCTGTGATGCGATTTTAAAATTACAACTGGCCATTCCGAATTCACAACTGAGGGGACTGAGGCTAATCGTGTTACTTGTGCTACAAGTGCGTATGGGCTTCATACTGATGCTTAAGCCATTAATTATTTTTCTTCCCGATTAAAATCTAATGTAATCGATAATCGCCTTGAGAATCGTTAACTGGTATTTTCTAATTCGATAAAAAAATTACCCATCTCTAGTTTAAAACTGTCATCCAACAGCGCACGAAATATTATGAGTTATAGATAATGATACCATTACAGAGGCGACACTTCGTTTACGTTTAGTTTCTGCCTATTGAATTGGATACTGTAAGGAAACATCGTCATCATCATTTTAGCTACTGGACGTCCACTGCTGAACAAAGGCCTCCTCTAATGATTTCCACATCGCCCAGTTGATAGTGGCCTGCACCCAGCGTCTTCCTGCTATCTTCAGTCAGTCCATCTTGAGATTTTAGAAAAATTCCCACTCGTCACGGTAGGAACAAAGCTAGGGATGACCCACGCCTTCACTCCAGAACCAATAAAATAACTGAAAGTCAGAAACTTTCAGTTATTTTATTGTCTCTATTGTTAACTATCTCAGTGGTTGAGTACACGTATAATAGCTGTGAGGTAGAAGTTACGGGACTATTCCCACCTCTCCTTTTCACCGCTGCATCTCCTGTGTAGCTAGCACCTAGACTAGTTGATTTAAAGCCAAGGTATATCAGTTTTTAGGTAATGACTTAGTGCATCTAAAAATGTAAAACTTTCTAGTTTTTTGTAACATTGAAAAATCTAAAAAGAAGCATCATTTTTTTTACCAAGTGTTTCTAAGAAATTTAAATGGAAGCTTTTGATGACAACGTATTGCTTACTTTTTCAGCTGTCGAACGAATCACTTTTATACTCATAGGTCCTGTACATCGGTAGATTTGGTAAATAAATGAATCCATCCGGACTCAGAAACTAAAAAAATTAAAATAGCTGTAATTTTTTAATACTGGATTTGTCGATTAAATTGATCATATTACTGCGCCCTAACGGGTCGGACACTGGTGACCAGACACACTGTACAATTATTATAATTTTAGCCTATCTCGTGAGCTAGGTGTCAATAATTAGGGTGATTTACTAACTAACCAGTCGCATACGAACAACAGCAGTGAGATTCAAACAAGTTTGATCCATGATGCCGCACGACTATTGTGTGAGCCCACCCGTAACCCAAGCTTATTTAGCTTAACACAAGGGGCTGGACGGGACTATTAGTAATTTGTGCAATACAAAGTGCTTATAATCTTTAAAAAAATCTTTTTATTGCTGTATTTAACCTTCCTTTCGTATACTAATTTATGCGTCAGTGTCAAGTCTGCGATTTTTATTCTTTGAAATTTTCGTAAAATGGCTGCCGCCGCGGTGACGCCTTGTAATTAACAAATTAAAATTAAATTAGTGTTTTAAAGTGCATAAATGTACAACTTAATGGTAAAAAGTCATTCCTTGATTTTTACTTAATATGTATCTGGAGTTATTTGAACAGTATTTTCGTCTATAGGATGGCATATTTCAAAAAACAAAACTGCACTCAAGCGTGTTGTCACAGCAACCGCTGAGCACATACTAATTGAATTTCGGTCCATGGACCTGTTTGCATGCCAGAAACAGTCTAGTTGACATGTCTTCTCTAGTACGTAGTACATTATAACTCAATGTTTGTCACAACTGAGTCAGTGTTTGAGGTATGGGAGCGGCACGGGAGGGGTGACATTGACATATTATGACGTGACAGAGCATACAAAAGCAAATCTGACGTCTCGCTGACGTTTGACGTTACAAAATCGCCCTCCTGTTCTATAGTAGGGAATTTAGTGCAAGAACCCCTCCACTTTGGTATAGAAGGCTCATTTTTGCAACAGTGGTTCTTTGGGTGCTCCTGAGTAGATTTCCGTCGGTAGACATCGGGAGCCCCCCCTGTGGTAGCAGGGGGAGGGGGGGCAAGTTTCCTTCCGCCGCGCTTCACTTTAAGGCCCATATCTTCAAAACTATGGGTATTAGGGCAAGTGTAGTATCATTTTCGGATAATTAAAGGATGGCGAATTCATTTCTAGAACAAACTTTTTGCCNTTACCACAAACTGTTGTAGAATTGCCCAATTGCCCATTCATAAATTTAAAGCACATATCAAAAGCACCTTAATGAAAAAGGGCTACTATAAAGTTGATGATTATATAAAAGATAAAAATGTTTGGAATGTTTAACTACCTAGCTCGCATCAATATTTATGACTATAATTTGTATATTTTAAAGACTGTAAAACCTTGAAAAGGAAGCTGACAATAGTGACTGAGTTTCTTGCGCTGCTTCTTCTCAGCACTGGCCCATTTATTGTCCCAAAGCAGTGGTAGGGTTAATATTGGGACGTGTAAAAGCGCTTTTTAAAAGCCTATTTGCAAAATAAACGAATTTTATTAATTTTATTAATTTTAATTTTTATGAATTTTCTATCTCGTGATTCCAGGTGTGTCCGCGATGCGACGTTGGGCGAGGAGTGCGAAGACCAGCTCCAGTGTGCAGGCCCAGGCTTGGAGTGTAGAGGCACGTGCCGCTGCCGGGACAACTGGGTGGCTCATAATGAGACCAACTCCTGTTTCGAATGTAAGTTGCTTTATGCATACTTATTCTCTAGAAGTGAGAGCCTATACAGCAGCGGTTCCTAAACGTATTTAGTCTACTGCCCACTTAGAGAATAAATTATTATTTAGCGCCCCCCATTTTTGTAGTCAAGAGTCGAGCTCAGTCAGTGTCTAAGAGTCCTCCTAGTAGATGACGCCTCCCAAGCCTCTACACAACGTCCCGATTTTTTTTCTGGGTCTCTTACCGCCCCCCTTTAAGCCTGCAGCGCCCACAAGGGGGCGTTATCGCCCACTTTGGGAAAGACTGCTATACAGGGTGTAATTTTGTAATGCCACCTGGAGGGAAAGTACTCGTAATACTGTAGATAGAAAATTTTACTGAAAGAAAACATTCCTTTGTTTTTGAAAAGAATACCATACAATTTTCTGCACATAATTAAAATAATTTAAGATTTCATGGTTTTCCTTTCATTTAATTTAACAAGTTTGTTAGAGAGATTTAATCCTTATACTTAACCCTAACGATCGATGCAATAAAAATACAGCGTGTAATTTTTAACAGATTTTAGTTGGTTCATTTCCCAGGTGTGGCAAGCAAATTTTTGGAAATCTTTGAATGCAGTTCTATTTCTTTTCAAAAATAAAGGAATGTTTTCTTTGAGGAAAATTTTCTATCTATAATTTTAAGAGTATTTTCTCTCCAGGTGGCATTACAATTTACAAAATTCCACTCTATACAGAGTAATTTTCTTAGAATATACATTCTAAGAAAATCCGAGAAACATTACTCGGGTCTCGGACCTGGCACTGGAGTGTAGGAGTTGCCACAACTGGGTAAAAACTGGGTGTTTTTTGAATTCGCTGTATTTTTCTTAATTCGATTTTGGGCGGGGAGTGATATGACCTAAAGTCTGTTCGCCGAGAGTTGATAAAAAAAAATATCAGAGGTTCTAAACTCATTATAAATTGCGGCCCGCTAATTATTTTTGTCGATATAATGAAAAAGTTGGTAGATTATTATTGGCCTGGCCTTTTTTTTGGCCTGGATTCTCGGCTCGGTTACAATTTAATTTTGGACTACCATTTATAAGAATGTTCTAAAAATACCAATTATCTACCAAAATATATTAACGATTTCGCACTACTAAATCATCGTTCTCTTTGCCTCAAAAATACCAAAAAAGTAGAAATCTACTAAAAGTGGTCACGCTGTGGCCGCCGCCGCCCGCCGGCCGGGGCGCTTGACGACAGCTGCAAGGCTCGTACCATGGTACTCAGTGCGCGTTGTGACAAACGACGCCCGCCATACAGAATGCGATAATTAAGCGACAGTCGCTATTGCAAGACATTTCATAATATTTATCAACTCTCGGCGAACAGACTTTAGTTATAATGCGCAAGCCTGAGTCTGACAACTCTGAAGTGAAGGAGGAACGTCACACGCTCCACATAGCTAACATAGCCCGACGTATTAGCAAGCTGAAGGTGGCGGTTCGCATCGCGACAGAGACAGGAGACCGAGACGCGAGACCGAGACGAGAGACCGCGACCGTTACTTGACTAAGGCAGAGACCTGTCTGTCTCTGTCTCGCTTGCGGACTGTCGCTTATACATTATCTAAAGTCAAGTAAGGGGTCATCCATAAAGTACGTCACACCTAAAGGGGGGGGGAGGGGGTCGACAAAGTGTGACATGGTGTGACAAGGGGTGGGAGGGGTCCTTAGTTTCGGGACATCACATTTTAATTGTTTTAAATATTTGATATGATGTTGATTTCATAAAAAAAAAAGTACTTAATTTAAATGGAAATAAAACTAATTTCGGAACTGCTGTTTTAATTTAATAATTTTTTGATGTGAAATTGCAAAACATGTGACGTCACACNTAAATATTTGATATGATGTTGATTTCATAAAAAAAAAAGTACTTAATTTAAATGGAAATAAAACTAATTTCGGAACTGCTGTTTTAATTTAATAATTTTTTGATGTGAAATTGCAAAACATGTGACGTCACACTAGGAGGGGGGGGTCTCAGAAATGTGACCACCTGTGACAAGGACGGGCGGGGGGGCTCAAAAAATCATGAAATTCGTGTGACGTACTTTATGGATGGCCCCTAACGTGACGTACCGCGATGCGAACCGCCACCTTAAAGTGGATAGGTAAGACACAAAACTGAGGGCCAATAGGTCTAGGTAGGAAGGTTTTAAAATAGAGGCTATGTACCAGCAAGCGCAGTTTAAAATTATTTCCAGATATTTCAAGTGCGTCTGCAACTATTTTTATCCTGAGATATAATCAAATGCCCCAATTGGTTCACAGCTGTAAAAGCCCTGAACGAGCCGTGTGAATACGACGTGCAGTGCGACGCGTTAGCAGGCGTAGCGGAGGCACGCGCACCTGGTGCCGCGCTGTGTTTGGGCGGCGCCTGCGCATGTTCATACAACGCGCACGCGGTCGGAGACCCACCGCGCTGCTGGCACAGACGGCGGCCGGGACAGGAGTGCCGAAGGGACGAGGTGGGAATATGAACCTTATTGTAGTAGCAGGAGGGGTTACTATCCAGGCGCGGCGCTGTGTTTGGGCGGCGCCTGCGCATGTTCATACAACGCGCACGCGGTCGGAGATCCGCCTCGCTGCTGGCACAGACGGCGGCCGGGACAGGAGTGCCGGAGAGACGAGGTGGGAATATGAACCTTATTGTAGTAACAATATGCAAGAGGGTTGTGATGCACCGCGCTGTTTTTTGGGCTGCGCTTACGCATGTTCATACAACGCTCACGCGTTCGGAGATCCGCCTCGCTGCTGGCACAGACGGCGGCCGGGACAGGAGTGCCGAAGGGACGAGGTAGGAATTATAATATAGTCTTTTTGAGTGTATTTATCTATGGGTTTTCCAACTAAGACAACCCTGGCTGATACTGCAACGAGACAAGATAGGTACTTACATAACCCTAATTTAAGTGACAAATGCAAGCATAGTGCACCAAGCTACATCGCTGAACATTTCTGACAAGACTTTAGGACGAACTGAGGTATGGACTATGAGATATGATGTTCAATTAATGATACGAATTGAGCGATGGATAGCACAGAGTAGACCGAGTCCATCTAGCAAAGTATGTGGAAGTCAATTTGGAGCTAGGCCACCTCCAATGACGTCACGTACGCTAGCGGGCGTATCGGAGGCGCGGCGCTATGTTTGGGCGGCGCCTGCGCTTGTTCATACAACGCGCACGCGGTCGGAGATCCGCCTCGCTGCTGGCACAGACGACGGCCGGGGCAGGAGTGCCGAAGGGACGAGGTGGGAATATGAACCTTATTGTAGTAACAATATGCAAGAGGGTTGTGATGCACCGTGCTGTGTTTGGGCGGCGCCTGCGCATGTTCTTACAACGCACACGCGTTCGGAGACCCACCGCGCTGCTGGCACAGACGGAGACCGGGACAGGAGTGCCGGAGGGACGAGGTAGGAATTATAATATAGTCTTTTTGAGTGTATTCTATGGGTTTTCCAACATAGACAACCTTGGCTGATACTGCAACGAGACAAGATAGGTACTTACATAACCCTAACTTAAGTGACAAATGCAACCATAGAGCACCAAGCTACATCGCTGAACATTCCTGGCAAGACTTTAGGACGAACTGAGGTATGTTGTATGAGATATGATGTTCAATTAATGATACGAATAGAGCGATGGATAGCACAGAGTAGACCGAGTCCATCTAGCAAAGTATGTAGAAGTCAATTTGGAGCTAGGCCACCTCCAATGACGTCACGTACGCTAGCTGGCGTAGCGGAGGCGCGGCGCTGTGTTTGGGCGGCGCCTGCGCATGTTCTTACAAAGCGCACGCGGTCGGAGACCCACCGCGCTGCTGGCACAGACGGCGGCCGGGACAAGAGTGTCGGAGAGACGAGGTGGGAATATGAACCTTATTGTAGTGGCAAGAGGGGATACTATCCAGGCGCGGCGTTGTGTTTGGGCGGCGCTTACGCATGTTCATACAACGCGCACGCGGTCGGAGACCCACCGCGCTGCTGGCACAAACGGCGGCCGGGACAGGAGTGCCGGAGGGACGAGGTGGGAATATGAACCTTATTGAAGTAACAATATGCAAGAGGGTTGTGATGCACTACTATCGCGGCGCCATGCTGTGCTTGGGCGGCGCGTGCGCATGTTCATACAACGCGCACGCGGTCGGAGACCCACCGCGCTGCTGGCACAGACGGCGGCCGGGACAGGAGTGCCGGAGAGACGAGGTAGGAAGATAGTATTCTTGAATCTACTGTGTGGGCTTCTAAAGCAACCCTGGATGACACTGAAGATACACATCTACAGAGGTTTATGACCGATGAGCTCCAGGATGAGGTAAAAATTTTAGTGACAATACGCAACCAAGCGTTAATCCCATTACAACCTTGCAAGTGACGTCACGTAGAGCTGAGGGGAGGGGGCTCTATCGCGGCGCCGCGCTGTGCTTGGGCGGCGCCTGCGCATGTTCTTACAACGCGCACGCGGTCCGCCTCGCTGCTGGCACAGACGGAGACCGGGACAGGAGTGCCGAAGGGACGAGGTTTGAATATGAACCTTATTGTAGTAGCAGGAGGGGGTACTATCCAGGCGCGGCGCTGTGCTTGGGCGGCGCCTGCGCATGTTCATACAACGCGCACGCGGTCGGAGATCCACCGCGCTGCTGGCACAGACGGCGGCCGGGACAGGAGTGCCGGAGGGACGAGGTGGGAATATGAACCTTATTGTAGTAGCAGGAGGGGGTACTATCCAGGCGCGGCGTTGTGTTTGGGCGGCGCCTGCGCATGTTCATACAACGCTCATGCCGTCGGAGATCCACCGTGCTGCTGGCACAGACGACGGCCGGGACAGGAGTGCCGGAGGGACGAGGTAGGAATTATAATATAGTCTTTTTGAATGTATTCTCTGGGTTTTCCAACAAAGACAACCCTGGCTGATACTGCAACGAGACAAGATAGGTACTTACATAACCCTAATTTAAGTGACAAATGCAAGCATAGTGTACCAAGCTACATCGCTGAACATTCCTGGCAAGACTTTAGGACGAACTGAGGTATGGAGTATGAGATATAATGCTCAATTAATGATACGAATAGAGCGATGGATAGCACAGGGTAGACTGAGTCCATCTAGCAAAGTATGTGGAAGTCAATTTGGAGCTAGGCCACCTCCAATGACGTCACGTACGCGAGCGGGCGTATCGGAGGCGCCGCGCTGTGTTTGGGCGGCGCCTGCGCATGTTCATACAACGCGCACGCAGTTGATGATCCGCCGCGCTGCTGGCACAGACGGCGGCCGGGACAGGAGTGCCGGAGAGACGAGGTGGGAATATGAACCTTATTGTAGTAACAATATGCAAGAGGGTTGTGATGCACCGCGCTGTGTTTGGGCGGCGCCTGCGCATGTTCATACAACGCGCACGCGGTCGGAGACCCACCGCGCTGCTGGCACAGACGGCGGCCGGGACAGGAGTGCCGGAGAGACGAGGTAAGAATATGAACCTTATTGTAGTGGCAGGAGGGGGTACTATCGCGGCGCCATGCTGTGCTTGGGCGGCGCGTGCGCATGTTCTTACAACGCGCACGCGGTCGGAGATCCGCCTCGCTGCTGGCACAGACGGCGGCCGGGACAGGAGTGCCGGAGGGACGAGGTAGGGAATTCGCCAAGTCTGATTCTAGGAAGCACAGTAGATATCGTCACTGTACGCTACGGTAGTCAGAATATGAACTGCCTCAATAGAGGCAATAGCTAGATCATTGAATGCTTTATCCCAACATGTTAGTCGTATGATGGAAGTATGTTTAGATCTAGAAGCGACGTTCAAAGAGGTCGTAAGGCCTCCCCTCAGACTTACGACCTCTTATTAAATTGATTTGCGTTCGATCCGGACGCAGCACTGTGCCTGAGCTCCTTCACTTGAGTGATTCTCCTTATTCTCGTGAGGATCAGTGTGTGACGATACGATATGCATACGAGAAAGACCGAGGTCTTCTGTTGATCGCGTGAGGTGTAGTAACAACTAACGTCATATGTCTACCAAACATTCCTATGGCTCTGGGAAGATATGAGGAACATGAAAGTCAATCAGTAACTTTATTGCACTTGGTTGAAACAAAACTGTCTGACTGTTTTGGTCATCACTTAAAACTTTATTTCTTTAAATTGTTTTAAATATTTACATACAATTACTTACTTATTACTAATCATAACATATTTTATAATAATATTAACATCGTAGTCATTTCACTTACCTATTTAAACAAATTAAAGCGTATACTTACATAATATAAAACGATCAACCAGCAATCGACTAATATTTAGGTACCTTATTCAATTATTCTTCATTCTTTCTATTTTTCAAAGCTTAGGCAAATAACCACAAAATCGTGTCCAGTCTTTGACTGTAACTTAGACCCTCTTCCACCAGCTGTACTGACCATAACCAATCTTCCAGGAATGCGTCTCCGAAGAGAACGAGCCAGGTTACTGCCTCGCCGGCCGCTGCACGTGCAAGACTTGCTCGCCTGATGCACGAGACTTCGGCGGAGCGAGCACGCTGTCCCGCCCGCCATTGTATGTAGCGGCCATCTTGTCGCTCGCCGCCATCTTGAGACACTGACGCTGAAAGCGCGCGAAAATGTCAGTTGCAAGAAGGTTTGATACGCCTACCAGATTTTTTAAATAGGGTTGCACAAAATTATTGCAACACCAGTTATGATCCTGATCAAAATATTCCTAAAAAGTCTTAACATTGACTTTGATACAAATTAAAGTAAATAAACGAACTTCCTTGCAACTTTTCATTAGGCAGAATCAGAATCAGAATTTCTAATCAGATACTGTGTATCGAAAGGAATAAACAATGACTGGTCGAGTTTTGACTAGAGTTCTAAAGAAGTACTTTTAACAACTTTCATACTGAATCTTTTACTGATGAACAAAAGTTCTACTACCTACTTATATTTGTACCCTTTTTACCCACGTCAAAATAAATAAGGTTTGCGCGCTTAAGATGGGAGGTTGTTTTGTATAATTTTCTTTTTGAATAAGTTTATTAATTATGTCGTTATTAATAACTTAAAATTGTTATCTTTCTAAAGAGTTTTTAAAATCCTGGCTACGGACCTCTTTACTAATAAATACGTGCGTTGAACTCTAGTTTAAAGTTATGTATTTTTATGGAGATATAATTTTAAACTAGTGTCCATTTCCAGTTTTCATTAGTAAAGGGGTTAATTATTTTACAAATATTCTGTACGTTTCGTAGATCCTAGGTTGTTAATTGTTAATAGTTTTCAAATTTTATCCTAAGTTTGTAAATAATGTTATTATTGTTGTTAAAATGTAAATTTTAAATAGGTGTAGATATTTATCAATCTCTTCCGTCGTAGATCAGTATTTTGAGTGCAATTTAAACCGTCTGTTTGTAAGAGCAAAGTGTATGGGTAGATTTTATGCCAAAGAAGTGTACACAAACAATGAAATATTGTGTAAATAAAGAATATTTATTTTGGTCGATGTCAATTGTTTTATTTGATGACTTAAAATTCACTGTGACCTAGATGTCGAGTGTATTAGATAGAACATCTAAAGTAAAGTGGTTATAACTCAAAAAGTAGTTAAATGTGACAACCTCATAGCTGTGCCTATAATGTACTTACCTAAAGGCTAAGATGACAAGCGAAATATATCTGGATCAGTGGTTTTACAACAAATTCCTACAATACCTGTCTGTGACACGGACACGGAGGCAAGTTTTAAAAATTACTATAATCATGCTTATCTTACATAACTTATGTAGGGCCTGCACACGCAAATACTCTACTTACGTAACTTAGGACCTGCGACCACTAGGCGATAGAACAGCTGCAAATCTGTATTCCTAGTCGAACTTGAAGTAGTGAGCGACTTGTGTAAGGCCTGCCGCACGCTGGGCGACGTGGCGGCGTACACGAGCGGGTTCATAATAAAGGGAACTAGTAATAAACGCAGTACGCAATACTTACTTAGTTTAGGGCTTGCGCGCATTAGGCGACAGCTGCACATCTGTATTCCTAGTCGAGCTTGAAGTAGTGAGTGACTTGTGTAAGGCCTGCCGCACGCTGGGCGACGCGGCGACGTACACGAGCGGGTTAATTACTTACCCCCTTACTAATAAAAAGTTACACTGTTGTTGAACACTGTTTTAAATGAAATTTCCATACTAAACGTCACCTTAAAACACTTTTCAACGAGCGTGTAAGTTTTATTAGTAAGGGGGTTAGAATCTAGTCACAAACGCACCACTTACTTGGGTGATCTCTTTGGCAACATTCTTTTTTTTTCTGCCTCTCGTTATTGTACTTTTTAGCTGTCAAATAAATAATTTTTCTTTCTTTTCTTTCTGTAATATTTGTATTATAAGTAGGTAGTTCTGAATAATAATGACAAGTATATTTTGTGAATGTCTCTGTAATACGAACCAGTTCAAATATAGATTTGGAACACAACGGACGTCTCATTCCACCTACCTTCTACAAGTCCTACACAGACACCGTACACTTTACTTTCTTACTTAGCTTAGGGCCTGCGCGCACTAGGCGATAGCTGCACATCTGTATTCCTAGTCGAGCTGGAGGTAGTCAGCGACTTGTGTAAGGCCTGCCGCACGCTGGGCGACGCAGCGGCGTACACGAGCGGGTTCTAAAGAGAACTGATCACAAACGCACTAGGCACATACTTAGCTTAGGGCCTGCGCGCACTAGGCGACAGCTGCATGTCCGTGTTTCTAGTCGAGCTGGAGGTAGTCAGCGACTTGTGTAAGGCCTGCCGCTCGCTGGGCGACGCGGCGGCGTACACGATCATCGGGTTAATTACTTACCCCCTTACTAATAAAAAGTTACACAGTTGTTGAACACTGTTTTAAATGAAATTTTCCATACTAAACGTCACTTTAAAACACTTTTCAACGAGCGTGTAAGTTTTATTAGTTAGAGTCTAGTCACAAACGTACGACTTACTTAGCTTAGGGCCTGCGCGCACTAGGCGACAGCTGCACATCTGTGTTTCTAGTCGAGTTTGAAGTAGTCAGCGACTTGTGTAAGGCCTGCCGCACGCTGGGCGACGCGGCGGCGTACACGAGTGGGTTCATAACAAAGAGAATTATGTATTCACAAACGTACGACTTACTTAGCTTAGGGCCTGCGCGCACTAGGCGACAGCTGCACGTCTGTATTTCTAGTCGAACTTGAAGTAGTGAGTGACTTGTGTAAGGCCTGCCGCACACTGGGCGACGCGGCCGCGTAGACGAGCGGGTTCAGCGCCGAGTTGGCGTAGCCCAGCCATGTACACCATAGCCAGGTCACGTCCCTCACGCACTCGCATAGTGAGTCTGGAAAGAAAATTTAATACTATAAGGTCCCGTAAATAAATATTCATCATAATTTAAACCTTATTCACTTATCCTAAGTTCAAAAACCAAATAAAATAATCAACATGCTGTGCAGCAGAAAATACCCATAAGAAAGAACTTCTATTGCCCCCTGGCGCAATCATCATGAATCTGGGAAAGTATTTGCTCATCAGCATCGTTATCAAGTAATGTATTCTCCAACGCAGTAGCATGCCCTCTCTAATTTATTAGAGGCAAATGGAGAATTTGGCCTTTACTCATCACGCTGGCCAAACGGTTAATCTGAGAGTAGGTTAGGGTCTAACACTCTTAGGCTGGGTTGCACCATCTTACTTTATCTTTTGAGGGAGGCCTGATAATAATAATAAATACACTTTATTGCACACCAAACAAATAGCATAACAGAAAGAAAAGGAACACACAAGGTACAATTAGGCGGTGTTATCGCTATGAAGCGATCTCTTCCAGACAACTTTGGTGAGGACAGTTACTTGAAACAAATATGAAGCGGAAGGCGGTGTCGACACTAAAGAAATAAATGATAACAAAAGGCATACAATTTAAACCAAAATAATACATACAAATAATACACAAAATATATTCACAAATTAGCATTCTCCCTTAGTCGCCTTCTACAAAATGCAAGGGAAAGTGGGGGCAATACTATTCTGTTCACATTTGGTTCACATAGGTAACATTTATTTGATCAATACCTATATGGTCCAAGACCTACAAATATGAAAAATGAACTTACCCACTGGAAGCATCACGAAGAAAGGAGTCCAGCACACCAGGAACAGGGTCATGAGCATCACTATGGTGCGAGTGGCGCGCCTTTGGCGAGAGATTATGCCGTCCCTGGAAATATTACACAAATTATTCTTTAACACAATACACAATTACCTACCTAATTAAAAAGCATTATCTTTAACTCTACTGCTACTTATATTTGTCTGTAAGCAGCAGCTAAAATGTAAGTGACTTCGTACCTGTGACGTTTACGAAGACTTGATTGCTCGTGAAGTTTCTAAAGGCTAATGTAGTAGTTTTAGGCTGGATTGCACCATCTTACTTTAACTTTAACAAACGTCAAAAGTCTGTCAAATTTCATACACAATACATCGGTTATCGTTATAAAATAAGTTGGTGCAGCCCTGTTAGTCACGGATCTTTAGTATAGGTAAACGTTAACCCTGCAGCTTAAACTGCAGTAACAATAGAAAACTTCAAAGGTTTTTTAAACTGACACTTAGCATTAAAATTTATGCTTAGGACACTGTTATAAAGTGGGTGCTTTAAAGCTTTTATGAAACTGTATGCTATAAAATAATTTAAACAAAATTGTATCCTTACGATGAAGAGAAAGCTTTGTTTTTTGGCGATGCCGGCGCGGGACATTTTGCGTCTGTTTTGTCACTTGGCACATTCAGGTGGCAGCCTTTTGGAGAGGTAAATCTGTGGAATAAATTAATAAGTAATCTTTAATTTACCCTACAACAGTCATAACTTGACCTGCTTTTAAGGAATTTTCTATTATCAAAATAGATTTTTAAGGTGTAACTTACACTAATGTTTTTTGGACTTTAATCGTCTCAAGTGGTGTGGTAGTTTTCGGTGGTTCTGGTTTAGTCTGAAAAGAACCAACAAAAGAAGGTAAAATGAAGTCATTCTTTGTTATCAAGGACTTGAGCAAGCATCATTTTAATGCTGAAAACCGCAATCAAATTCAAATTCAAATCGTTTATTTGCATACTAAGTGTACATAAGGTCTTACACTTATACATATTGTGCTTATAACTTAGTGACCTAGTTAAGGTATTGCCTGATGTTACGTGAGATGCAATAGAAGAGAACCCGGATTATAGACTTAAGGAAAGAATCAGCAGACACTGAATTGTAGTCTCTAGCTGTTCGTTCGCATTAAAAAAGGATTAGGCAGAGTAAATACAAATGAGTAGGTAATCTTCATAGAAACGCACTAAAATTTAGCGTGGATTAGCGGGGGGAGTTGCGCCGAATTGTGTCAGTGTGTGCGTGCGCGCAGCATACGTATTGGCGCGCTCACATACAAACCGCGCTCGGTGCGTTTCTAAGAAGATGACCTACTCATTTGTATTTACTCTGGATTAGGGAACGTTTAGTGCGAGCTGATGCTAATGTGCGCTAATGCGAGGAATGTCAACAATTTGTGTAGTTATCATTAATGTCGACAGTTTGTTACTTACCGGCGAGCGTCCTCTATGCGCCCTGATGGTGGGTGGGGAGGCCAGCGCATACAGGATCCTGGCGTACAGGGTCACCATCACGCTCGCTGGCAAGTAGAACGAGAACGACGTGCTGAAGAACACGTAACTGAAACAAGGGACGATCATCTTCAGACTGAAACCGAAACTAAATTTGTAACTAGCACATACTTTACGGGGATAAAACAATAAAAAAGAATAGAATAGAATTAAATGGACTTTATTGAACACAGTGAGCACTTTATAAATAACTAGCTTTTCGCCCGCGGCTTCGCTCACGTGGAATTTTTCGGTTTTTTAACCTATGACACTCAGCAATAATATGGCGTTCTATTGGTAAAATAATTTTTAAAATCGGTTCAGTAGATCCAAGATTACCCCTTACAATTTAACAAAAATATACAAACACTCAAACTTTACCTCTTTATAATATTAGTATAGATACGTGATCGTAAGAGCATGTCAAGCAGCTGGTCTTCCGCGGAAGCCCTTGTTGCGGCATCGCGCATCCCTTCGGAGATATCTCTCAGAAGGGCTGCGCAATGCAAGGAAGGGTGTAGGTATGTAGGCCTAGGGATTCCCTCCAGATTAGATATTTACCTCCTAGCATGAGAATCACGATACTACCACGTGGCTTCTCTGGCTTTCTGGTGCTCAAGGGGATGCTGATTCTGTGACGTCATCAGGAAGATACTACTATAGTACCTACCTACTCCAGCCGACAGTGACAATGAAGATTTTACTTGTCCCTGTCCCTGTCCCTGTCCCTGTCCCTGTCCCTGTCCCTGTCCCTGTCCCTGTCCCTGTCCCTGTCNCCGTCTGTCCGTCTGTCCGTCTGTCCGTCTCTCCGCCTCGTCTCCGCACTCACCCGACGTTGGTGTTAACAGTGCAAGCCTTGGCCGCCTCTCCCGCGTGGAAGTGCCGCGGCGAGGGTATGAAGGCGGTGGGCGCGGCCACGGCGGCCGCGACGGGCCACACCAGGACGGCATACAAGCGCGCCTGCCGGGCTCGCGCGCGCGGGACAGCGGCGCCGACTGCTGGGGCTCGAGGCGATGCTGGTGCTGTGATGTCATCAGGAAGACACCACTACTAAAGTGACTATATCACTCTCGCTCTCTCTTTCTTTCTGTTTTTTAATTTTCTTTTTTTTCTTTCTCTCTCTATCTCTCTCCCTCAGTGTGTTTCTTTATCTCTCTTTCTTTATCTCTCTTTCTTTCTCTCTCTTTCTCACTCTTTCGCTCTTTCTCTCTCTTTCTCGCTCACACTGTTTCTTTCTCTCTATTTCATACTTTCTCTCTCTCACTCCCTCATTCCTTCTCTCTCTTTCTCTCCTCCTTCTCTTTCTCCGTCTCCATTTCCGTCTCCGTCTCCGTCTCCGTCTCCGTCTCCGTCTCCGTCTCCGTCTCCGTCTCCGTCTCCGTCTCCGTCTCCGTCTCCGTCTCCGTCTCCGCCGTCTCCGTCCGTCTCAGCCCGTCTCCACTCACCCGACGTTGGTGTTAACAGTGCAGGCCTTGGCCGCCTCCCCCGCGTGGAAGTGCCGCGGCGAGGGTATGAAGGCGGTGGGCGCGGCCACGGCGGCCGCGACGGGCCACACCAGGACGGCATACAAGCGCGCCTGCCGGGCTCGCGCGCGCGGGACAGCGGCGCCGACTACTGGCGCTCGAGGCGATGCTGGTGCTGTGACGTCATCAGGAAGACACAACTACTAAAGTACCTATCTCACTCTCGCTCTCTCTGTCTTTCTCTTTCTCTCTTTCTCTCTCTCTTTCTTTCTCTCTGTCTCTTCATCTCGACAGCGGCGTCGACTACTGGTGTTCGAGGTGATGCTGGTGCTATGACATCATCAGGAAGATACTACTAAAGTACCTACCTATGTACTCCAGCCAATATTGACAATGACGATATTACCTACTACTTCTATCTCTTTCTCTTTTTCACTGGTTGCGATGCTATGACGTGGTATCATGAGGAAGCATCTCTTTCTCTTTCACTCTCCCTTTCTCTCTCACACTCTCTCTTTCTTACTTTCTTTCTGACTCTATTGCCCACTCTCTTTTTCTCCGTCTCTCCGTCTCTGTCTCCGTCCGTCTCCGCCCGTCTCCGTCCGTCTCCGCCCGTCTCCGTCCGTCTCCCCACTCACCCGACGTTGGTATTGACGGTGCAAGCCTTAGCCGCCTCTCCCGCGTGGAAGTGCCTCGGCGAGGGTATGAAGGCGGTGGGCGCGGCCACGGCGGCCGCGACGGGCCACACCAGGATGGCATACAAGCGCGCCTGCCGGGCTCGCCGCTCGGGACAGCGGCGCCGACTACTGGGGCTCGTGATGCTGGTGCTGTGACGTCATCAGGAAGACACTACTACCAAAGTACCTACCTACTCCAGCCGATAGGTAGTGACAATGAAGATACCTACTTCTTTTCACGTTCTCGCTCTTACTATCTCTCTCTCTTTCTCTTTCTTTCTCTCTCTCTCACACTCCTTTTCTTTCTCTCTCTTTCTTTCTCCTCTCTCTCTCTCTCTCCTTTTTTCTCTTCTTTTTTCTTTCTCTCACTTTCTATTTCTTTCTCCGTCTGTCCGGTCCGTCTGTCTGTCTGTCCGTCTGTCCGTCTGTCCGTCTCTCCGTCCGTCCGCACTCACCCGACGTTGGTGTTGACGGTGCAGGCCTTGGCCGCCTCCCCCGCGTGGAAGTGCCTCGGCGAGGGTATGAAGGCGGTGGGCGCGGCCACGGCGGCCGCGACGGGCCACACCAGGATGGCATACAAGCGCGCCTGCCCAGCCTGGACAGCGGCGCCGACTACTGGTGCTCGAGGCGATGGGATGATACTACTAAAGTTCCTACCTACTCCAACCGAGAATGACAATGAAGATTCTTTCTCTCTTTCTATCCCTTTTTCTCTTTCTCTCATTGTCGTTGTTTCTGTCACTGTCACTGTCACTGTCACTCCGCCTCGTCTCCTACTCACCCGACGTTGGTGTTGACGGTGCAAGCCTTGGCCGCCTCTCCGGGGTGGAAGTGCTTCGGCGAGGGTATGAAGGCGGTGGGCGCGGCCACGGCGGCCGCGACGGGCCACACCAGGACGGCATACAAGCGCGCCTGCCGGGCTCGCCGCGCGCGGGACAGCGGCGCCGTGATGCCTCGCCAGCGCTCCCAGCCTAGCGCACATAGGGAGAGGATGGACGCGGTGCAGCAGAGCACGTCTAAGGTGCTCCAGCAGGAGCAGATGGCCCAGTCTGTAACAATTATTTGTAAGTAGAGGATGAATGAAAATGTTGAAACTTCTTTTTAGGTACCTAATTGTATTTATAAGTAAGCTACAAGTAGGTCAGGTAGTGAGTACCTACTATAAAAACGAAGCTCAACAGTCGATTCAAAATTTCAAACACAATATTGAAAGCTGTAATTTGTCTAACTAAAATATTTAGATCTGATGTGTGCTTGAGAATGATCAAAATATTATGGGCCTTAGTGCGTTTCCAATAGCTTTTGTATTAAAATTAATAGAAAATTACTTTATTGATTAACTTATTAAGGCTAGTAGCTGTGACGATGCCCATGGCTGCTGCTGCGACCAGCCATGACTCTCCGACTTCGCCGCGGTGTTTATAGTTTTACATTAATAGTTAGTATTATAACAATATCTAAATAAAACTCACTAATATGGAAGACAAAGAGCTCCCTCGCCGCAGCGATCGGCAGCACGAAGGCTCCTACCAGCAGGTCAGCTGCTGCTAGACTGGCCAGCGGGTAATGCGCTGGCGACCGCTGCGCCCGCTTCAAGGCAGCCAGCACAGCGCCGTTACCAGCGAGCGTGGTCGCTGTTACGATGCCCATGGCTGCTGCTGCGACCAGCCATGACGCTCCGACTTCACCACGGTATTTGTGGTTTTACATTAATAGTAGTAGTATAACAATATCTAAATAAAACTCACTAAGATGGAAGACAAAGAGCTCCCTCGCCGCAGCGATCGGCAGCACGAAGGCTCCTACCAGCAGGTCAGCTGCTGCTAGACTGGCCAGCGGGTAATGCGCTGGGGACCGCTGAGCCCGCTTCAAGGCTGCCAGCACAGCGCCGTTACCAGCGAGCGTGGTCGCTGTGACGATGCCCATGGCTGCTGCTGCGACCAGCCATGACGCGCCGACTTCGCCGCGGTGTTTATAGTTTTACATTAATAGTTAGTATTATAACAATATCTAAAATAAAACTCACTAAGATGGAAGACAAAGAGCTCCCTCGCCGCAGCGATCGGCAACACGAAGGCTCCTACTAGCAGGTCAGCTGCTGCTAGACTGGCCAGCGGGTAGTGCGCTGGCGACCGCTGAGCCCGCTTCAAGGCAGCCAGCACAGCGCCGTTACCAGCGAGCGTGGTCGCTGTGACGATGCCCATGGCTGCTGCAGCGACCAGCCATGATGCTCCGACTTCACCACGGTATTTGTGGTTTTACATTAATAGTAGTAGTATAACAATATCTAAAAACTCACTAAGATGGAAGACAAAGAGCTCCCTCGCCGCAGCGATCGGCAGCACGAAGGCTCCTACCAGCAGGTCAGCTGCTGCAAGACTGGCCAGCGGGTAGTGCGCTGGCGACCGCTGAGCCCGCTTCAAGGCAGCCAGCACAGCGCCGTTACCAGCGAGGGTGGTCGCTGTGACGATGCCCATGGCTGCTGCTGCGACCAGCCATGACGCTCCGACTTCGCCGCGCGTGCTTATTGTCGTCACTAGAAATGGGAAATGCTTAGGTTGCCAAATGTGGGTGTGCAACGGGACTAGAACCATAGCTAGAACACTAATAAGCAAAAAGTAAGTCCAACAAAAATATTTTGAAAAAAAAAACTTACCTACTACTTTTTGGGCTACACTGTTTAATAGATAAGGTACGGAACCTTGTAAATCTCAGACATCTGGCGACCCTAGTTGAGGGATTAGTCGTCCCGCATTGCAATGCCTTGATATTTAGTTTTGTTAATTACTTAGATGACTTTAAATAAAGAAGATTAGATATTTCTCGTGTTTATTGAATCTTCATAATCATAATCATCATCATTTCAGCCATAGGACGTCTAATGCTGAACATAGGCCTCCCCCAATGATTTCCACAATGGCCGGTTGGTGGCGGCTTACATCCAGCGCCTTCCCGCTACCTTTATAAGATCGTCGGTCGGAACTTTCATAATTATTATTATTAAACCAAAACTTAGTTATTAATGCTGCTTTAATTAAATAAACTTCGTACTTACTAATTTAAAACCTCTTGTCAACCAATAAACAATCCGTTCACTTTAGTCACGGTAATACTAAGTACTCCACATTCATTTCACTAAGATCCATAATGTTTTTTTTATTTTTATTCACTTTCACTCAAAGACTTTCACAAAATAAACATTAATTCATAACAAAACATTGTAAATTAATTAAAAAGGAAAACTGGTGTAATAACACAAACTTGCTGAATGTTTTTAATAACTGCTACGAAGCGCAAACACGAAAATATTTTATGAGGGTAGGTAATTTTTACTAAACGTCCTTTTCCGTCAAAATAAATTTACTTGTACCCTAACGTTCTCAATATTTTAATAAACTCACTTTGTACCATAGACTAAATTAAGTATTTTTTTTAAATAAGACTAAGTAAATTTAATTCGAACGCACAGTCATCTATATTTTTTATTACAAAATATTAACTAATGTAAGATTTCAACCACAGTGAAGTTTCAGTATGTACAGTGTTCAACTTGGACAATGTTCTATGAACTTGTGATTTGTGTCAGCTACCGTTGGTACCAAGCAAATTAGGGTAATAGGTCAACGGACATGTTTGTCCTGATTCTTTTCCAATATCCATACAATATTACAGTAGGTAGGACTATTTGATTGATAGTCGCGTATGTGATGCTCGCACCTGGCTTACAAAATTTAATCATTATTTTCGACAAAGTAGGATCTTACTCAGATACTGATTTAACAATAAAGCACTACGTAACGTACTATAATAATTTTGCCTGGCAAGTTCTACTTAGTTCTTTGCCTGTTGATCAATGTTGAAATGCTTATTCTATAATAGGAGTGTAATATTGATGATAAAAACAACCCATTTAATTTTATTCCTTTATTGTCAGTTAAGGGGAAATATTTAAAAGTTCATTCTCCTCAAGTTTCAGAATCTTACAAAGAAATGCATTTCATAAAAATAATGATAAAATGTATTTACAGGAATCTAAAACTAATTGATCTTCTAAACTATGCTGAATAGTTTAAATTACAAAACGTCCCTACACTTACAGCTAAATTTAAAGGCACGCAGAGATTGAAGATCATACATTTTCACACATTTTGTGCCCATTTCGTATGCTTTATAACAATCCATCAAAGTTTGATATACAGAATTACATAATTTGTAACGTTTGCCTCGAACTGAAAAAGGTCGTATCTGAAATTTATAAATTATTTTTAAAAAATTAACAAATTAGTAAAAAAATATTATCAAATATATTTTGTATCATTTTACTTTCTTCACAGCTTACAATATCCTCAAATTTACGTCTCTATTATAATTAAAATCGAGGCAAAACATTATTACATACAACATTTGTACTTTTACTTGACACCATTGAGTACGCTTAAATATAAAAGAGAATGCATTTAAAGGAAGCACGCGGTTTCGCTTATCTGTACTCTTACTTACTCTAACTAATAGTTATACAGTTATCACGGAATTTGCTTGAAGTCACAACACGTTAGGAAAAAATGCTTCTACATTGTATAATATTTACCAACTTAAGATCCAAAAGTATCGGTAATGTTTTTTTTTTCATAACGTTACGAATTCGTTTTTTACAATAATGTATGAAATTTAAAATATTTTTACACAATCATTTCAGTGTTGTTCTTTTCTTCCAAATGAAGATGACAATTGGCTCCTTGGCACGTAATGATGACACAGAAAAAATATAAAGTTAACCCTTAAAAACTAGAATAACACTACGAAGATCATTCTCATTCGAATTTAAATATTATAAAAAAAATAAAAGTAATATTTACAATATTGTAAGCATTTCACACCACGACATCGGCAGAAGTTCAACTTAACAATCTAGAAATAATATCATACAAAGTGTGGAGTTCTAAAATACGTAATTGAGCATAGAGTGTGGTCCCAAGGTTAACGATAGAACAATTTGGAAGGGTTTTAAAGCGAAATAATGGAATGATGAGATCTTAAAGTACGGTTTCCGTACTTTTTAGAAAACGTATTGTGCTTGAGGTGGTACATTTTTTGGAATGTTATGTGAGCATTCTTAGGTAACTCTATTGGAATTCGAATGAGTATACTTTTTTTATTTGATAATTTCAAATATCTAATCATATAAACATTGGATCATTTCCCATTCAGATTATTAGATTTACGCAAAATAACCACCTCATAAAATATGAATTACTTGGAAGCAAATATGGAATGACTTAGTAAAAAGCGGAAGATACTTAGAACTTCTTTAACCACTAACTATACCACCTACAACTGAGGTTGATGCCTATAAAATAGAAATAAATTAAAATTCATTAAAATTTCCAGACAGTCAAATAAAAAAGAAAACATTTAAAATAAAGAGGCATCAATCTCAGTTCAGATTCACTATTAAAAATCTAAGACTATTGTGTCTAAGACCGATATAATTTTATTTAATTCGCTTACAAAATTTTCAAAGATTTTTAACATCGAATAAGTATTATTCTTGATAAAGATTTTGTTTTACAAAACAGTTTCGTTTAATGGCCATAATAACAAAATACATTGTTCATAATTATTAATTTTGGTATTACAATATTATCTCGGTGTTAGAAACAAGTATAAACAATCTACATACACTACAGTACAGACGACAGCATGTCAACCTACCAAAATATATGAATTTCATACAAACATTTTAAAGTTTATGCCTGTAGCGTAAGGCTCAAAATGAATTGAGGAAATTTACATTTTGTGATAGGTAGATGTGCTGCCAAACGAACATTACTGGATCTAGCTAGGTGCTACGGAATCACACATAAATAATTTCCCTCCAGATACAAAAAACAATCTCAAAATGCAAAATATTATAATCCCATTAAAATTAATGATTTAAAACACTGAGTTATAAACAAGGCAATAAAAACATTTAACAACAACAATTCATGTATTACAAGATATATTGTCAATAAATTTATTACAAAATGTCGGTGCGTTCATTTGCAATAATTTCTGAAAACAGCCTCTGTATGAAACCAAATTACCTACTTTATTCAAAGTATTAAAGTTATGGTTACAATAATTATTTTTTTAATTTATAATAATAATGACATAAGATCTGAAAATTACATTTACGTCCTTTTTAATTTCAACCATCGATACAACGAGGCCTGCGTAAGCGATGGATCACCGAAAGTCTTGTCATGTGTGAGATTGAGTTAGTGCATAGTTAGTGCTAAACTATGTAACATCTACGAGTCATGGCTGTACATATCAGTCTATATCTACGGCACGCTAGCACCTTGAGATTTCTATCGAGTCATACACCTTCATACTACAATGCCATACAAAAAATCAGCAAACGTCGTAACTGCAGTTACGTCTTTTTACCAACTCCTGTCAGATATCGTGATAAAATCTAAGTGCCCGAATGAAAATGGCATTTCATAACAAATATACAAGGTGCGTTTTAATATCATTAGTAACTTTGTACAATTTATTGGCTTGAGCCACGTTTTTACAATCTGAGACTTACTTTATATTATATGTAGATGGCTTCTGTGGCGCCCTTGTTAGTTTGTTGTAGTTCGTTGGGGGACAACGCGGCGCGGTCGGACCAGTCAGAATGGGGCGACTGGGTCAGAGGCGTTTGTGGTGACGGTGACGACCAGTGGTCTGGGGATTCTGGTGATGGGGTCGGGAACGTCTCTCCTAGACCCCAACTGCCGTATAAACCTGAAGAAGAAGGAATGTATTAGTATGTGTTTTACATTGAACAAGTCTTGCTAATAAAATTACTATAAAAATCAGTCAAAGTACGACTGGTAATCAGAGGATAGACACTACAAGTCGATTGAGATACTCAATACTCAGTTATTTATACATAAAAGTGTTTAGTGTTGAAGATGCATAACTGTGTTTGGTGTTAAGGGTACCCAAAAGTATTAAGTGATGAGGGCACTTCGAAGTGTTTGTTCAGTTGTTGAGGATACTTTGAAATGTTTGGGGTTGAGGTTACTTAGAAATGTTTAATGTTAAGGATACTAACGCCCGTATTCAAAAACATTACTATGAGGTCTTCCAATGCGCGTGGACGCACAGAGTGACACACGAACCAATCACAGAGCTCTATTCAACGCTGTGCGTTCGATTTGCTGCTTCACTTAAGCAAGCATCGTTTATGAATACGGGGTATTTGGTGTTAAATATACTGAGAAGTGTCTAGTGTACTAAGAAGTGTTTGGTTTTAAAGCTACTTCGAAATGTTTGGCGTTGAGGACACTAAGAAGTGTCCAGCTGGTGTTGAGGATACATAGAAGTGTTTGGTGTTGAGGGTACTGAAAATTGTTTGGGTTTGAGGATAGTACATGGTGTAAAGGGTATTTAAAAGTGTTATTGATAAGGGTAATGAGAAGTTTTTGCCATTGAAGGTACTTACTTAGGCTATTGAGCGCGGGATGCTGCGCGCCCTGCACTTGTCCCAGCGCGGCCGCGTGCGTCATCATCGCCTGTAGCTGTGGATTGTGCTGGCCGTTACCTCCTGGAGAAATTAAAGGTTACCATTAATAAAGCACATTTGAAAGTCTATTTTTCGATGTTAGTTGAAGACCAGGATCGTCCTAACAGAATAGAAGGAGAGCAGACCGAGAGAAGACCCAAAATTTTGAGTGGTGTGCAATTAAAGTATATCTATTCATCTATATTACTAGCATTTTCAGCGCACGTCTTATTCTGCGAAATGCAACGTTGTGTATGAAACCATTTATTCACACTATTTTATCGATCGGTTATGTGACTAGACGTTTTTGTAAATAATAAAATTCACTGAAGACTTGAATCCAAAAACGTTTCATTAATTCGTCCGTTCATTCATCATCTATGGGATTTCCTCAAAATACCAGTCTCCCATTTATCCTTTCGTCTTTTTCATTCATTATTATTACCTCTGACAATTGGTGGTGGTGCGAGTGGCGCATCTATGGTGCGAGCTTGCCTAAATGCGCCAGCGCCGAGTAGGAGGCGGCGGTGGCGGAGGCAGCCGCGTCGAGGTGGTGCGAGTGGTGGTGCGAGTGGCGCATCTATGGGGCGAGCTTACCTAAATGCGCGAGCACCGAGTAGGCGGCGGCGGTGGCGGAGGCAGCCGCGTCGAGGTGGTGCGAGTGGTACATCTATGGTGCGAGCTTACCTAAATGCGCGTGCGCCGAGTAGCGGCAGCGCCACGATGGTGCCGGGTAGTGCATCTATGG